CGACAAGAAACCAGGTCGTCGGACAGGCCAGTCAGGCCGAGTCTCCAGAGCGCGCCGGCCGTGGAGACCGTAAGGCGTGAACGCAGGTCACGCCGGGCGCTCGTCGTCTGCCGAGGGGCTCCACCGTGCCATGAGCGCCCTGTCTGCCTCCAGGCCTCTGAGGGACGCGCCGTGGGGCGGTGCCTTACAAAGTGCGCTCCGGCAGGCGGGAGGCGAGGACGCAGGAGCGCGGGAGGCGACACCTCCGCGCTGGACGAGGCACTGCCTATGGCGCGTACACGGCAGCGGATAGCTGCGAGCGGTGGGCGTAGCCGAAGGAAGGATGGGCCGCGCACCGTGGGCGGAGCGCGGGAAGCGTCATCCGAACAGGGAGCCGGCACCATGGAGGTCAGGCGGCGGAGCGAGTCGGCGCCCAGCTTTGGGCGCCTCATGTCGGCTCAGTAGCCGCGTCGGTGCTGAACTGATAAAGTAACATGATATATTTTAAATGGAACCTATAGGTGGCTTTATTGGACGTTTGGAATGTGATAAAAATACTTAAGTTGGCTTACCAGGGACTCACACAGCTGAGTTAATTAAAAGGACGTGGCACTGGATAGGAGGGGAGGGGTGGGGGGGATCCCATCCCCGTGCGAGTCGGGAATGAGAGGAGTGACGTGAGTACAAGCGGATATGAATGCTTGGAGAGAGTGTGGTGGAGCGTCGAAAGCTTGGAGTCCGCGTGGATTAGTTAATGTCGTGGGGGTGGGGGGGGTGGGAGGGGGCTCCCAGGGTTCCTATCTAGCGGGCCCTCGCCAATGTAATTTGCCAGTTGCGCGTGACCGCTGCCAGTTGGGTGTATTAGGACTGCGCCTGGTTCCGTTTTTGCCACGTTTAAAAATTATCACCAGCTAAAGGGGTGGAGGTGGGGTACCGTGTTTAAGAGTGCACAACAACGTACGGGGAGACAGTCGTTCATGGTCCCTGATCGGACCTACAATCCCGCCAATGCCCTGGTCACCCACTTCATCCTTGCTCTGTGGCTCACGTGGGTGTGTGTTGATGTCGGGTGTACCGGAGTCACAACGTGCCGAGTCGTACGCTTACATCATCTGGCTCGTATACTGACCAATTGGCTCCTCAGTATAACTTCGCTCTTGCTCTTGGGGTCTGGACTCGGTCACAGAAAGTTTTGGTCGGCGGAGACAGGGACGAGACCCCGCTTATTGCTGAGTGCGGTTTTATGTGCGTCTTGGAGCAGAGTCACAGCCGGGATGAGCTCAAAGGAGCAGGGCTCAGTGAGCAGTGGGCACTCATGGCAAGAGGACTGCAGAAGCCGCCGATGGTGCTGAATAAAAAATGCGGGCCTGAGTCCCCCCCCCTCTCTCTCTCTCTCTCTCTCTCTCTCTCTCTCTCTCTCTCTCTCTCTCTCTCTCTCTCTCTCTCTCTCTCTCTTCTTATATGAAATATTTCGCATTCTGCACGGGGGGAAAAAGTGAATCTCCACGTTCGCTTCCACACTTCTTGGGCTACCATCTCGGAATAATGCCATGCATTGCTGCGCGCTTCTTACCTTACGGAGAACTGCGGGTAAACAACGATTTGTGTGGTGGTAAGGTGCGGGGGCGGAGCAGGCCAGGGGCAGGGGCATATCATTATTTGTGGTATTGTTTGGTGTATTGAGACCATGATGTAAATGCATCATGAATGCTAAATGCTAAAAATGCATTTTGTTCTTTCGGATCAGGCAGCATGCCTGTTTTTCTGGTTTCTTGGACCTACATTGCGAGGGCATTCGAGGCACCGAATTGAGATAGGTGCTGTCCTGCATTCCTTCATTCCTACTTCACCACAACATATCTCTCAAGATTTGGATGTCATTTTGTAGTTACTTGCACTCTTCTCAATGGACCCAGTGTGCATAATTTGGATATTTTCCAAGTGGCTACATTTAAATGCAAGATTTTTATACAATGTGGTTGTAACAATGATAAAAGGACCATCCATAAATTGTCATGCATGTTTTATCCCTTTTTTCCTGGTTTTGAAGTGCCAGTTGCAACATCAAGGGTAACTGGCTTAATCCCATGTGAAGTAGATGCAAAACAAGGATAGTGTTTTGATTGTATGAAATGAAGTGAATGATACTTTTGATGTTTTTTAAGCATATGGGTCAGGGTGTACTTTCCTACCTAACATTAGAAAAAATCATTGTACACCATTTGTCATGTTTAAGGTAGGACATATCGTAAATAATCACAAAACAGGTAGATTCATGCTCTTACCTTCAAATTGTTGATATGTATTGAGAGTCACATGGCCATGTTGAGCTTTAGCATATATTAGAACATTCTTATTAGTCAAAAAAGAAGTTGCTGGATGTGGTTGTATCCATTGCTGGTATTCTGTCCCTGATGTTATTCTGATCCACAGTTGAAGTTGCACTGCTTGTTTCTGTGTTGATGCACAAAAACATTTATGTGCATGCTGCTGCTCCAGATGAAACACTCTGTGATGATTGGGGAGGTTGTTAAATCAGTTGCTGCTTAGACACAGTTTATTTGTATTTATATTTGTCAATGCACTTTTCCCCCTTCACACCATTTCCCTCACAACCACTGTCAATTTCATGTTGCATGTTGTCAGCTGATAGCTAATGCCACCTGCCATTTTCTACTTCCACAATGTTATCATGTTGCATTTAGTGTTTCCCCAATGGCTCATACCATAACCATAGCTTCTTGGCATGGAGTTGGTGAGCAGGGAGCTGTCAGCCTTCTGGTCAGTAGTGCTCCTTTACTTGCGGAAGATGAAGGGAGACGCAATGTTTGCGTAACCCAGGCCAGAGTATCCAAGAGTGGTGTAGGGCATGTTGTACATGATCAGGGAGCTATCAGCCTTCTGGTCGGCGGTGTCCCTCTTCTTGCGGAAGATGAAGGGAGATGCGATGCTGGAGTACCCAAGGGTGGAGTATCCGAGAGTGGTGTAAGGCATGTTGTACATGAGCAGGGAGCTGTCAGCCTTCTGGTCGGCAGTGTCCCTCTTCTTGCGGAAGATGAAGGGAGATGCGATGCCAGTGTACCCAAGGGTGGAGTATCCGAGAGTGGTGTAGGGCATGTTGTACATGAGCAGGGAACTGTCAGCCTTCTGGTCGGCGGTGTCCCTCTTCTTGCGGAAGATGAAGGGAGATGCGATGCCAGTGTACCCAAGGGTGGAGTATCCGAGAGTGGTGTAGGGCATATTGTACATGATCAGGGAGCTGTCAGCCTTCTGGTCGGCAGTGTCCCTCTTCTTGCGGAAGATGAAGGGAGATGCGATGCTGGAGTAACCCAGGCCGGATAAGGCGTAGCTTGGGGCCACGAAGCGGCCGAAGTTGCGGACATGGATGGCCACTGACTTGCCCTTGTCTTCTTCAACGGCAGACCGCTTCTTGCGCAGGAACTGAAGACACCGGTAACATGGCGTCAGTGCTGATGAAGTCATAGTGCAACGAAAACATGCCATTTGCCATATGTATCAATGGGTTTTATCGAAGTGAGACCTGTGCACAGTACCAGATAATTTTAGTATGAGTCATGCAGTGGTGTTGCACTACTCGTGGAAATGAAACCCTTTGACGAATGGTTGGAAGCTTCGAGATTATTGCTGTAGTTTAAAAGGCAGCGTGTTGTTAAAGAGTGTATCCAAAAGGCTCATATGGAGCTGCGTGACGAGTCCGGAACAACCTCTGTCTGGTGGGGACAGCAACAGAGCACTTACAGACATCGGCATCCCCGTGTTCATCGAGTAGATGCCGTTCCTGAAGCCTGCGGACATGATGCCCATCGGCATGATGGTGAGGCCGCTGGCCGCGGCCACCGTCATCAGGATGATCTGCAACACCGGCGTCATTCTGTCAGTGCAGCATTGTATCTCCTGTTCCATTGCTGCTTGATAAACTGGTGGACCAGAGGTTTTATCAGTGGAGTCATAGTTTGCCCTAGCGGAGATTTAGGGAAAGGACAGCAAGCTGTCTTACGGCCACGGTTATCCAGCGGTGCTGCCTTAACGACCGAGACACCAGGCCGTCTGCCAGTGTGAACCGACATGCGACGTGCTTAATCCACCGATATAGAGCACGGCGATGGTCGGTGTTATTGTGGCGCTGCCTTCTGCTGGTCTTACCGCACACTTCATGTTGGCTGTTCTGCTGGCGCTGTCTGCTCATCCTCATCTGCTGCGCCCTTTTATATCCGGAGAAACGGGGCGTAGCCGGTCTGACGCATCGTCTCATCTCCGGACGTCGGCTCTGGAAACTGCACCGACCAACGGGACCGGACGGCCGGCGGATCGCTCTCGTCGCTATCTCGTGATCTCACCGACTCGACGCTCGGTGCTAGGGCTGGCGCACACACGACAACCCTAGACGGCTCCTGGCCCGGGACCAGCGAGCCCGCAGGTATCCCGCTACGCTCGTCGTGTCCCGCCCGCGCGCTCGCGGCGTGCGCCGCGGCGTTAGCCGGCGTATCGCACGGCGTGCGGCGGCGTCCGGCTGTTGTTGACGGCCCCAGCTGGGACGTCAGCGACCTTCGCCTGACGCGGTCAGCGCCGGGCGCGCCGGTCGTCGTCTGCGGACGTGTCCAGGCCGCTTTTTGTGGAGCGGGGCACTGGTGCAGGCGGCTGCGGGAGGGCGCCCCGCCCGCAGATGCGCCGCTGGTGGTGACTCGCAGCTGCATGGCTTAGTGACCAGGGCCTGGCACTCCCACGTGGGGATCTAGGTTTGAACCCGGGTTGAGCCATGGGAAAAAGCCACCGATAAGTTGGTCAGGTAGTCGTCGACATTACATGAGTGGGTTGGTGGTGACGTACGTCGTGTTACCTCGCAGATCGTACAAGCTCTGGGAGTAGGTAAGCGGGATATACCGATGTTAGATAGCCTCGCGGCTGAAGATGTCCGGATGGGCTTCCGTCACTTCATTTTTTGATCTGATTGTCGTTCCACCAGTCTGTTTTTTCGTGGTCCTTGCAAAAAGTCGACTCCCTGGGGTGTGAAATAGCGGGACAGGCCGCTCGCAAGCCGTTTTCTGAACGTCAGTGCTGCCTATGCGTGAAGCATCAAGCAAAACCGGGCAACGGCATCAGGGACTCAGATTGTTACTGGAGCCAGAATCGCCGGATGTGATTGCCACCAGCGAGCACAGGTGGGCTACTTTGTTCTGAAAACAGTAGGTTAGGGTGGAGGCCGCGAACCCCCCACCCTGCCGTGTCGAGGCTAATGTTTGGTTATTTGGACATTTCCAGGTGACCACACACCGTCCAGAATGTATACGCTACTCCGTGGGTTCTACAAGTACATGGTGCAGAAGGACGATTACTTTCTGTTGATCCTGGGTCTGGACAATGCTGGAAAGTCGGTAAGCGTTTTGACCTCGAATAAACGCGTGGAGTGACTCGGTAGTACTTAGTCGGGTCTACATGTGTGCGACAGTAGCACCAACTTTTTGTAATGCCTGTTACGGATGCAACTCGCAGTGTTGTGCTGCTGATAATTTAATATTTGTCTCATCATGCAACATGCATGCTCCTTAATGCCGTAACACGCTGATCGTTCCCTTCAGGCATTATTTGCATCCCTCAGATTGCTTAATCTCCCACCGATCCTGGGAACATGCAGGCTGAATGTACCGGCTTTGTTCCCTTCAGACTTATCTGGAGGCGGCGAAAACGAAGTTCAGCAAAGGCTATAGGAGCCTGAACTCCTCTAAGATCACCACCACCGTTGGCCTGAACATTGGACAGGTGGACATTGCCGGCATCAGGATCAACTTCTGGGATCTCGGAGGACAGGAGGACCTGCAGAGCCTGTGGGATAAGGTACGCTGCTCTGTCGTCTCGGACCGCCGGGCTATTAAACTATGATGCGAATCATCGACTTTGGCCCGTTTTTGATGTGCGTAGCTTCGCGTGCGTGCAGCCATACTGTACAAGTAATATCGCCTGGTCTAGTGACATGGTCAGCAGGCTGGCCGCCGGACGGGTGACGTCACACTGCGCCTGTGACGACAGGCTCTGTCACAGCGTCACACTGCGCCTGTGACGACACTGCGTCACGGTGTCACACTGCGCCTGTGACGACAAGCTATGTCACACTGCGCCTGTGACGACAGGCTGGATCACAGCGTCACACTGCGCCTGTAACGACAGGCTGTGTCACGGCGTCGCTCTATACCTGTGTTGACAGGCTGTGTCATGTTTGGCTCCGGTCCGTTTCAGTACTACGCCGAGTGTCATGCCGTTATATACGTGGTGGACTCGGCTGACCGCCAGCGGATGGATGAGTCAAAGGAAGTGTTCGGTAAGAAGAGGCTATATGTGGATCCGGTGGACCTCGGTGAGGTTCCCATGGATGGGACGGCGGCGATGGTGCGTGGCTTTTACAACGTGATGGTTACGACAGTATTTTTCAGTGCTCTCACTGATGTAGTGAAGATTGCATGATAATGCTGTGTATTGGGATGTCCGGGGGCAACTCCTGCACACCAGTGCCGACCCCTGCCTCGATGCCTCTGAAGACCCCTCCCCGACATCTGACCTGATATCTGCCCGACATGAGTGCGGACCGCTGTCGGACACCAGTACTGACTCCTGGTTGACATCTGTCTGTCCTACACCAGTGTCGATGCCTGCCCCAACACCTGTGATGACCCTTGCCTGATAGACACATGTGGTAACGTATGCCCAACATCTGACCTGATATCTGGCCCAATACCAGACGTGACCTTGCGGACACAGAGGCTTAACCTCGCCCGGACACCAGAGCTGACCTCCGCCGCGCGTCTGTGCTGAGTTCCGCGCGACGCCTGAGCTGACCTGTGACGCGGGCCGCCAGACCGCGTGATCGGCTCGGAGCACCTGATCGGCGTACCGCTGCTGGTGCTCGCCAACAAGCAGGACATTCCTGACTGTATGGGCGTGCGCGAGGTGAAGCCCATCTTCAATCAGAGCGCGCACCTGATCGGCCGGCGCGACTGCATGGTGATGCCCGTCTCAGCGCTGCACGGGTCAGTGCGGCCCCGACGGCGGCCGGCTAGCCCGGTCTCCTGTGGACCGGTCAGCGGGCCGATGAACGCTTGTGGCGCCTGGTTGTTGCGATGGGTGGTGGGTCGGTCGGCTTTCAAAAGGCTACGACGATGCTCTTATTGATTTGGTTGCTTTGGGGTGATGTCGCCTGGCCTGCGCCAGGCGCCACTGTCTTGTTGAGTACCATTTGGGACCACTGTCGCCAGATGGCACTCAGGGATGTAGCTGTTCGAAATTAGTCGTGGAAGGGGGTGAACGATGAAAAATGATCCAGCTGTCCTAAGATATGCCAACAAATAGGTTTTCCCGGATTTTGCGTACTTTCTTGCCAAAATTGGGGGAGTCTGAGGCCCAAGTTGGTGGGTTGAAGCCCCTCTCCCCGAATGAATAGGACACTATGTCCCTGATGGTACTCATTGTTAAAAGGGGGCTCGGTGAAAGCCTTTTTAGTGCTGTTAACAATAAGTGTTTTGTTATCTTTACCATTTAGACAAAGTTAAAAAATTGTGTTGCATATCGCTGGTGACTGGCTTGCGCCAGTCACGCGTGCACATGTGCCCTCCTCCTCGCCACTTGCCCTCAGGACGTTGACGAATCGGACCGCTTTCAGGGACGGCGTGCACGAGGGCATCGAGTGGCTGGTGGAGTGTGTGAAGCGGAACTCTGTGCACCGGCCTGCCAAAGGCAGGGACGACTCATAGTGGCCGGGGGCGGTGCTGCCGCTGGTCTCGGGTTGTGCGCCGGCTGTGGCGGTTGACACGGACAGCCGCCGTAGCGGTGGTCACCGTTGTGCTGGAAGCGATCTCGGCGGAGCTCGGGTCGGTTCGGCGTATGTTGTTGGTGGGGGAGACGTCCTAAGAGCCGCGATGATAACTTTTGATAATGTACCGAGCGCTGCCTCCTGTCTTTGTGCCCTTATGTAGCTATGGATGTGGGCGCAACAACCGCTTTGGTTGGCTGCGTCCGGCCTGTTTCCTGTTTACATCGTTGGAATGTGCTACCATGTTGTAAGTGTTTGTCGGAAACCATCGTTACCCATGTTTTTTTTCCGTCGTTTTAGCGGGGCCTTCGGACATCGCTCTTCCGTGTGGGCTTATAGCCCTCGCCACATGCCCTTCTGCTGACCCGTGACGGGGTCGATCAGACCTCTCGCCGACACTGCCCCTCGCCGCACAGCGCTCCACAAGTGTCAAGGCGGCGCCGTACCGTGCGCTCCTGCGATCTGTGTCGCCGGCAGCGTACTACGCATACGTCCCCCTGGGGTTTGCGTGGCAGTACATGTCTCACGAGCCCTGACGTGTCCCGGAGGGGGCCTCGGCCGCTCGACATCCGCTCTGGAGGTCCCTGACGTGTCGGGGATGGGGTCTCGGCCGCTCGTCATCCGCTCTGGAGGTCCCTGACGTGTCCCGGAGGGCGCCTCGGCCGCTCGACACCCGCCCTGGAGGTCCCTGACGTGTCGGGGAGGGGGTCTCGGCCGCTCGTCATCCGCTCTGGAGGTCCCTGGCGCGTCAGGGAGGGCGTCTCGGCCGCTCGACATCCGCTCTGGAGGTCCCTGACGCGTCAGGGAGGGCGTCTTGGCCGCTCTTCGGCCCGCTCTGGAGGTCCCGGGCTTGTCAGGTGGGCGTCTCGACCGCTTGTCACCTGCTCTGGGAGTCCCTGACGTGTCAGGGAGTGCGCCTCGGCCGCTCGTCACCTGCTGCGGAGGTCGCGGGTGGTCGGCGGCAGCATCACGCGCTCTTCGACGCGGAGGTCTTCCGCTGGGAAGAGGCCGCCCGAGACTGCTCTCGTGCGGCCCTCGGCGAAGGGATGGGGAGCGGCGGGAGCTCTAGTCACTGGCCAGGGCATGGGCAGATGGCGGTGCTGCGTCGCCGGTCAGACGGTACACCGTTCCGTGTCAGGTGCTGCATGGCAGGTCTCCACCGGTCTTATGGAAACCTCTCTTTGTCGAGCACGGGGCGAATCAGGTTCTGTATGTGAGGCTTGATCGAACGCACGCGCGTGCTTCAAGTACCGTCATTCATAAAACGCGACGTAAATACACCTGTTTTAAAAGTAATCAAAGTTCTTTGCCTCAGCCTGCGAAAAACCGTACGTACTCGTAGACGCGTAGATGCGTAAGTCGCAGATGAGCGACAAGATGTTTTTGAGGTGTCGCACGGACGTGTACCAAGGAAGTCACACAGACGGGTCAGAAAGGACAGGTCAGAAAGGATAGGTCACGCAGACAGGTCGGACAGGACAGGTCACACACAGGTGACAAACAGGCCAAGCAGAACAGGTCACACACAGGTGACAAACAGGCCAAGCAGAACAGGTCACACACAGGTGACAAACAGGCCAAGCAGAGCAGGTCACACACGTCCGCAGTTTGGTTTTGCCTGCCGCAAAATGAAGTTACATGTTCTCGCTTTTTTTTACGTGCACACCTCTGAGGTGGAAATTTACTGGTGCAGTCATGTCCTGCGATTTGCGCAAGAGGATGACCAACAGTTGCTATTTATGCATGTGACATTTCTGCTGGGACCCATTCCGACCTGTTCAATTTCATGAACAGCTGCGACCGCAAGCGAGATAAGACGGACCACGTAAAAATGCGCCGAATGCAGGTGGCGTGTCAATGCAAAATGCGTAGTACGAACCGTGGCGAACGTGACACCACGCAAGTGACATCTAATTGCAATTGGGATCTGGCCTATCGCCCTGGGATCTGTCAGCCTTGAACCAAATTGCTTCCGGTTTCGATGAATCCTCTGAGGACTTTTGGAAGCAAGCGGTATTTTTTCTTTCTCCCATGCAACGTTACAATGTTTATGTACGACTTGTGAATCTGGGATGTGCCCGACCACTCTTATGACACTCACCCAGCACTGTTTACGGGGGCAGGAGACCCAGTGGGAAGCAGCTTCCTCTCTTGCTTCTGCGGTCCGTATGTTCTCCCTCTGACTGGCGCGTGATGCGCTGTCAAACAATTCTTTTTACAGCGCAGCGTATCAAGGTCTGCACACAGTATGGCCCATGGCAGTCTCTTTTACCTATCGTTGGTGTTTGGAGCTCTTTGTACACTCGCATGCTCCTACAAATTTGTCATTAAATTCCTGTGCACACCCACATATCACACGGCATGCATTTGGACACCGGTGGCGTAAGCCGACGCCTTGGACATTGCTGACATAAGCTGACACAGCCGACACATTGGACATCAGTGGCATGAGCGAACGCGGTCACGCCATACCAATTTTTGTGATGGCTCCAAATGTTCGACTTACTTGTGCGCGTCTCAATCACGGCGGCACATCTCAGAAACGTTCTCTGAAAACGGAGTTCAGTGCGCTGTAGTCGTGCACAATTTCTTGAGTGCCGTAAAATAGCATCGATGTTCTCCCTCCGATTTGAAGTGCCTACCTGTAGTTTCAGCCGACTACATTTAATTGGGCACACAGCAATACATGCCGCAAATTTGGTAAGTGTATGGGCGTGGCCTCGAACTTGTGTGCGCTTACGTCCATGCCCCTGTGCCAAGTGATTGACGCAATGTGGGGGTTAATATCACGCCCCCGCCGCTGAGTCTGCAGGCTGATATCACGCCTGCGCGGCGGAGTCCGGAGGTTGATATCGTGCCTCCGCCGTTGAGTCCGGAGATTAATATCATGCCTCCGCCGCTGAGTCCGGATATTAATATCACGCCCCCGCCGCTGCGTCTGCAGGCTGATATCACGCCTGCGCGGCGGAGTCCGGAGGTTGTATCATGCCCCCGCCGCTGAATCCGCCGCGGCAAACACCAACGTGTTAACCCACCACTTGGTGAGGGTGCGTGCTAAATGGCCACATCACATCTTAAGAGCACTTTCAAGACCATGCCTTGTGTGCTGGTAACAGCGAATGGCTTAATTAACGAAACAAACCCGACCGTTAATAATACAGCGTGCAAATGAACCCACGTAAGTTCAAACGACGGCCTGTACCCTGGTCTTGGCTTGTACCGCGCTCTCTTTTGTGTGCTGAAAATGTCATGTCCAGGAGTGAAAAAGCTATCGATTTGCCGGGTATGATCTATGGCAAACACGGACTTTTGCAAGTTATTTGGTGACAAAACTGCGAAAATGGAAACAAATTACATCTGACCAGACCATACTACATCAGGCCATCCCAGTTAGACAAAACTCAAAACTTAATATTGGCCTGTACTCGCTAACACTTGCAGCGTGAGATGGCGTAGAGCACATATCGAAACACTGACGTTGCGCTGTATGAGCGAGTTAATCCACCAGATGTTGCCGAAAAAAGTAGCTTTAATCACAATAGTTTTAGCAGGGACATACATACACTACAAACTCTACTACATCAATGCCGACGTCACATGTCAGTGGCAACACACTGGTGCTTTTCCAATGGCCCTCAGATCAGTGGTTTTCACAGACCTTCAGTCACATACTATGGTTCACTTCACATACCAGGCGGTATAGAAAATAAAAGGGCCTATCTCTAGCCGTAAGAATTGTGGCTGGTCACAGCATATTGCGACGAACGTGGTCAGTTTGCTGGGCGGCGTTTCAAAGCGTCGTGTCAGTTGAGACAAACTGGCTCGACTGCGCGCCACGAGGCAAGTTAAGAAAATGTTCCACATATGAATGGGGTTCTGAACTGATGTGGCCATCTTGAAGACCTTTCGGTGCAGTTTAAGCATTGTCTCAGTGGGTCCTCAAACGGTGCAAGAGGGCCCCTGACTGATATTTCAGGTTAAAACCTTACGAGTCGTAACACCTTTTATGTGACCTTCGGCCAGTCCTTCTGACCATCATGACCTCCAACCGGGCCAGTGATAGTCGGTTCCGTTGGGCCACCCGAGCCCCTCTTCGGACCTCATCCAACACTACCGTTGGTCGGCTCGGGGCCCCTTGCAAGCACAGGACCCTCTGATAAGCGCTGGGGGCCCTGACAGATACAGGAGCCTCGACTAGTGTAAGCCACTGGCCCCGGCTTTGCAGCTGATTGGAAAGTGGGCCCTCGGGCCCGTATCGATACGGAACGGGCTGTGCAGTACTGGTGGTGCCTGACCAAGATGTAGACCCATATCCACTCAGGGTGCCCCTGATTGGCGGATAGGGCCCTCTGACTGTGATTTGAAGGTCCGTCCCCGCAGGTCGGGAGCACTGAATAGGACTCCAACCAGTCCTTCATGCCCTAGACCCTTCAATCGAGCCCTTGATTGTCGGATCCGGTGGCTCCTCTTAGCACTGCGGCCTCCTCGGGCAATGTCTCTGACCGACTCGAGGCCCCTTTGTCTGCACGGGGCCTCCGCTGCGCGCTGTGAGGCCCCGACCAACGCAAATCGCTTGCTCCACCGTTGTCCCTGCTTGGGAAATGGGCCCTCAGACCCATGCCGCCGCAGAGCTGACTGTGCGCTACTGACTGTGTCTGACCAGCTATAGGCCCTCGTCCACTCAGGAGCCCCTAGTCGGCGCGCAAGGGCCTCTGACTGACATTAGAGTGCCCGGCTCTGCTGCCGGGGCCCCCTGAATGGGATCTCCGGCCTGCCTTTTGAGCTCTTCGGGCCCTCAAATCGGGCTCTTTACCGTGTGGCCTCGAAGGGCCCGAAGGACCCTTGAAGGGTTATGGAGGGGTGGGGGACACTCTGTGTCCCCTTTGCCTTTGCTTCTGGCGCTTCCCCTAGAGGCGTCTCGCTGGTGGTTTTAGGCACTTCCAACAACGTGGTGGCCGAAACTTGTGCTGAGGCTATCTCGGCCTGGTCCGCCAGATTCTATGCGTCCACTGCTCATCCAAACGGTTTTCGAATGCACTTGTGCTGAGAGCTGTGACTAACTCCGTGGGCAGGCTATTTTATTCATTTGCCACCGGTACGCAGAATGTTTCATGGCGATGAAGGCTATTTGCAGTGAGCATCTTGAGCTCAAAGGGGTGTTCTTGAGTGCCGCGCTCCGCGGCGTCACTCCGAAACAATTCATCAGGGTTGATTCTCAGCTTGCCTGTGCTTACCTGGTACACCATGAGCATGTCTCCTCGACATTTCCAGTAGTACATCTTTGGCATCTTGAGCATCTTAAGCCTGTCCACATATTCTAGACGTGACAAACTGCGGACCGGCTTGGTTGCCCTCCTTGATAATGCTCCTACAGCATCTTAGTTTCGACAATACATTGGTCCCCACACGCAGCTGTCGTATTCAATGTAAGGCCTGACCAGAGACCTCAACATCAGAGGCACAGTCTTGACATCTAGTGCAGCAAAGAGCCGCTTGATCAGCCTAGTATTCTATTGGCTTTTGCCACAGCACTGGCCATCTCAGCACAAAAATCGACCTTTCGGTCCTCCCAAATCCCAGTTACTTCTCATCAAGTGTTTTGATGTCCTATCCTCCCATGGGGTACTTGTGTTGATGGTTTTCTCGCCCGAGAGACAGTGCTGCACACTTCTTCTCATTGAAAGAGAGTTGCCACATATCCGCCTAGCCTTCCAATGTTTCGTTGGCTTCATGCAGAGAATATCTGTCCGTGATACTGCAGATCTCTGTGAAAATATTTGTGTCGCCAGCGAAGAGTTTCACCACATATGAGGAAGATCACTAATGTATTCCAGGAACAAGAGTGCCCCTAACACCGACCCTGGAGGACGCCACTAGTGACCTCTGCCCAACTCGGGTACTGCCCTTCCACCAACGCCCTCTATCCACGCCCTGTAAGGAAAGCTACGATGCACTTTAAAAATATTTTCGCTAACTCTCAGCTTCTCAGGTTTTGCGAGCAGCCTGCGATGGGAGGCACTGCTTAAAGCCTTTCTGAAGTCCATGTAATGGAATTTACTGACCCTCGGTGGTCTGAGACTTGTGACTCCCGTCAAGCACAGATACCAGCCGGGTCAAACAGGACCGTACAGGAAGAAAATCATGCTAATGGACAGAGAGAAGATAAAATTGGGAAAGATATTCTAGAAAAGCTTCCCTAATAAGCCACTCCATGGCCTTGCACGCAACTGCAGGTAGACTGACAGGCCTGGAATTGCATGGTTCTGCCCTGTCCCTTCATTACAAGTGGCACTATGCTTCCTTCCAGACAGCGAGTAAGGTCCCAAACTTCAATGACTTACACAAAATAGTTTGGCTTGTATAACATTGATGCCTGCTTCATCAAAACTTTGCGGCGAATACCATCAGGACATGGTAGCTTACATGCTTTAAGCTCACTCAGCTTCTTCGTCACCGCCTGCTGCGTGATATCAGCTTCAGAAAGGAATTCACCATTGAAGGTTTGAGCTACCGGAGGTACACTCGACAAATGTTCTTCAGTGAATACGCTACTGAAATAGGGATTCAGAACTTGTACCTTCTCCTTTCCCGTCCTTATTCTGGGGCCTTCTGCGCTTCTGGGGTCTCTGACCCTCTTTCGTGTCCTCAGGCCACATATTTCCCCAAGGCTTTGGGATTCTGCTGGATTTGCTTAGCCAGGTTCTCCCCTCTCGCCTCCACTAAAGTCTTCCGTCAGTGCACGAACACACACACACACACACACACACACCACACACACACACACACACATATATATATATATATATATATATATATATATATATACACATATATATGACATACGGTTTATCAATTCTCCTCTTGGCCTGGATAAGTTCTTAGTTACTATACACATAGTTCCTTGATTGTTTTTTCACGTTGAGAAGAACGAAGCTTTCCACCAACTGACACGTGCAGCCTGCCACCGAAAAGCGGGGCATCGCAAGGATTCAGGATAAAGCGAGAAAGTGGATAAGAGGCCGGATGTTTAACAGTTCTTGCGCTTTGTGTTTCATAATACAATGCGTCAATGATTGAGATCTTCACAGGCATTGTAGTCAGTGACAGGGATCGGTAGCAGCGACTTCTGCAAGAGTTGAGAGCCCACCGGTGAAAGATCAGCTTATTTGATAGGCGCGTACCGAGGACACTTCGATGTGGAGTGACCTACAAGGTATGCTTCTAACGATAATTTTGATGGAGCAACGATATAATATGAACGCAGAAAGGCCAAAGTGATATTAGCTGGTGTTAAAGTGGGCGCCATGGAGGCACTGTCGTCGTGAGGATTTGTTAATACTGTTATGTTGGGAGGGCTCCATTCAATCTCTAGTAGACCAAAAGTGTTTTCAGGTCAATTATTGATGTCATTGCTCGGACACCAAAATGGAACTTTTTAATCAAGATAGGATATATTTATCACAGAAGCATATGGGCATGAAATCATCCAGATGTTCCACATCGCTAGAACATATTCGGTAAGAGTATACGGCGGCTATAATCCCCAGGGGAGGTAGCACTCGTCGGTAATAACAACGGCCACTAAAGATGTGTCTGCATCGTGAATAGCAATGTTGACAAGCACATGCTGGCGTCGTGTGTATCAACGACAGCGGAGGGTAGAAGAGCCGGAGCCGGAGTCAAAGGGAGCGGCTACATCGTCAATATCGGAGAGCTGGGAGAGCTGACTACCTTCCTCTGCGCCGCCCGGACCACGACTGACCCACTGCCGACCCCGACCCCAGGCGTGACCTACTCCCCGGCCTGTGATCCCGCCGCTCCTGAGATTCGAACTCAGCACGAAGTGCGTACGCGCTCACAACGCAGGCACCCTGAACAACCGTGCCACCTGGACGACGATCACGCCGGCGGGACAGAGGGCGACTAATCACGGACACAACAGACGACGATCACGCCGGCGGGACAGAGGGCGACTAATCACGGACACAACAGACGATGATCACGCCGGCGGGACAGAGGGCGACTAATCACGGACACAACAGACGACGATCACGCCGGCGGGACAGAGGGCGACTAATCACGGACACAACAGACGACGATCACGCCGGCGGGACAGAGGGCGACTAATCACGGACACAACAATACTCTTTTCGAGCCGCAGTTTGCAATATTTTATTACTAGGCATTGCTGCCCCCCCCCCCCCCCTATTCTTACATTAGTCCGTTTCGGTTAAGTGGCCATCAGCTAGACGTTATGATTGAAAATGTGGAAGCATTCTGATAAGATAGCGCTAAGGGCTTCATTTCGAGCGTTCCAATCGATGTTTTGACCATTTTATAACGTCATGCTGGCCTCCCAGGCAGGAAACAGTTCAAAACTATTGAACTTTAAGCCCATTGTGCACAGTCTAACATGCATGAATTAACACTCGCCCAAATGGAGCGGAGGTCGATGTGAGCGGCCCGTTAAGGCGTTTTGAGGATACCATCCGGTATGTTACGCAATCGCACCAGAAGTGTTGAGTTGCCTAGAAAATCCATGTGTTTTGACATAAAAACGCATCCCCAGCTTTTCCGCTGTCGGAGCAGCGGCAGTTTTTCAGGAACACTGCACAGAGACCTACTGCCGTCAGTGTTGATCTACATGATCAGTGATCTACGCGATCATTGGTGATCTACTGCCGGGGGGCTACGGACCATGTCGCGGAATGCGCTCGCCAGCGGTAGCCACTCGGGTCGACATTGCTACATTAATGGAGCCATATATCATAAGTGCATGCACAAAACATATACAAATATGTTATACATTGTGCTCAGTTGTGCAAGAAACATGTCTGTTCAGGTTCCTTGTCGCCGCACTGCTGGCCTGGTACGTTTAATGCCGTGGACATGAAAAATGTGATTTTCTGAAGGATTACCTCTGTCATATAGTGGAATGTCACATAGTGGGACCGATTATTGATCTAACATCAAACACAGTAGCAATCACGAGATGTCGTCAAAATTAATCCAGTGGTGTTTTCTGCTAAGGCATTTATATGCATTTTTGAACTGAACTGGCAATCTTGAAGATAATTCGGCGCAGTTCACAGCCTTGCCATTCTTAAGACCTAAACTCTGGTAGTTTGGGAGCTGCACGTCCACGAAAATGTGCAGGCTATCTTGTGCAGACTGCTCCAAGGTCGTCCATTCATCCACGACGCCTGGTAGTGTCATTAAAGCCCTGCCATGCCGTGTCCGTGCGGCGATCAAGGCCAATAAAAATGCAAATGTCGAGTCACTCATGTTTGGCGTTCGTGAGCGGTATTTCCACATATAACGGCTGTCATTTGGCTCTAAATCATGTTGTGCAAGGCACGATGCCGCAATCAAACAATGACGTATTGAAGAGCATATTTACTAAAAGAGGAATTATGTTATCTAGAGTATACTCTTCCACTTGCAAACATACCAATAGTAAGAGGTGAGCTTATAGCATCACATGTGGTGCTTGTCTCAATATTTTCAATCATGGAGCATTCCCTGAAAAATAAAATGACACCACTGAATTCGCTCTGAACCGGATAGCCATGCCCTGAGCAACCTTACTTTTTCATGTTTGAATGCTATGCGTTAAATTTTCATTGTTAACATGCTAAAGTGTTATTATTCTGGCATGCGCTAGTGTACCCGCCGCTGGCGACCCCGGCCGGCTGTGCGCCGTGGCGCGCTTCTGCCTGACGGTCACGCGGCGGCGCCGCCAGGTCGCCGTCCCCGGCACCGGCGCGGCGCCCGGCCGCGAGTCCGTACACCGCCCAGCTGGGGCACGCCCGGGCCAGCCCTGTGCGAGGTGCTGGTGCTGGTGCTGGTGCTGGCGCCGGTGCGGGCCGGGCTCGCGGGGAAGCGACTGCCGGTGCTCAGACTGCTGGGCGTCTGAGTGGGCGGCGGTCGGGCCGAGCTCCGCCTCCCCAGAGCGCCACCACCCGACCTTCGCGCGCCGCGTAGCGCGCCGGGCCGGTCTTAGCGCACCTGAGCCTCGTTCTTCTTAAGCCGATGGGAGCCCATTCCTTACCTTTAACGTCACGGCTCGAGCCCATTCCCTACCCAGCCGAGAGGCGAAGAAGGTGCGTTTGTTTACAAACGAATCGTCGGTGCTGACCTAGCAACGCTTATCAACAGTCGATGCTTTGTTGACATTCTTGTATGTCCGGCAAACAGGCAGATCTAAATCTCATGTGGAAAGTGTAATCATTTATAACGTATTCAGCTGCAGAAAACTTGCCACTAATTGTTATTCAAAAAATATCTCAGTGCGCCACTCTTGCGCACTACACGTCCCTAGGGGGATGGATCAGCCAATTATACTTGCGCCCATATTTGGAACAAGGGCGCTCTCCGTTAGGGCGTTTCCATGACGCCACCTCAGTGGACGAAGCTCGGGTCGAAGTCAGTCTGGAGGAAAGCGTGAGGGGAAACCGGCGGGTCGGGCGCCCGGAGCGAAGACGCTCAGCTGCCCATGGCGCCGATCTGAAGGTAAACAGGTCGGCGCTGATGAGAATGACAGTGACCGACCTACGTAGTCGGCTAGCTACCGTTGAGATGCTTGAAATGAAGGTGCATTGATGACGATTATGGCGCCTTGCGTGATATAAATACACCTGGATACAAATTAAGAGAAATGGGGGCGGGAGGTGGGTTGCACGTTACACACCTTGCAGGCTGTTATACGCATCGGGCCTTGAGAGTTATGCAGCTCCACGCTTACAAGTTTAACTTAACAGGATAATTGTTACATAGGCTAACCAGGCAGAAATGTTCCTAAAAGGACGGAGGTAGACGGTCGCAGATGTTTCTGATCGCAGCTCGGCACACAAGCGCCGTCACCCACCAGCAGGCCTTCTAGGTTTGTTCCACGAAAACGACCCTGGCGAATACCTCTACCATAACCAATTCATCTAATTCCAACTTAATCAGGCGTTTGAGTTCCCAGTGTGGGCATGCCCCACGTAATACCTGTGATCGCCTGCAAGACGCCCAAAGAATCGGAGAAGACGAGCGGCACAGCGTCTCGTCGTCCACCGCCCTCATCAGCTCACCCCGTCTCCTCTCACCGGCCTGGCTCAACCTTGGCTCTGCGGCCGCCCAAACAGAATCAATTCACCTTCTCGCCGCCGCCTCCGCCCTCTTTCTCGACGTTCGGGCGCCAACTTAACAGTCCGCCAAGAGCGCGCCGCTCGCCGCCCGGCCGGCCCAGCCGCCAGCGGTACCGTTGCCTTGGTTGACTTGCCTCGGCAGGAGTGGCAGGCAGGTGGAGTGCGGCTGCGGAGTGTCGTCTCCGATTGTCGGTGTCGGGGCGGTGCGGTGCGCGTCCGTGCGGGCTATCTGGAGACGGACGCTTTCCGTGCGTGTGCGTGAGCAGGGCGTGCGTGCCGGCGGTGCGAGGTCACGGAGCGGCGGCCGGCCGCTGGACCGCCGACAAGAGGTGAGTGGCCACGGGGCGCCGACCGGCGGCCCAGATACGGACCCGGGTCAGCCGGGCCGGCCCGGCCCGCGCCGGCCGGCCGGCCGGCTCGCGGCAGAGGTCGTGTACCCGTGCAGTCGGCCGCGCCGGAAGCGGCTCGGTCAGCTGCGGCTGATGCACCGCGGGCGGCGGCCCGGCGGCGCGCGCCGGCGCGCGCCGCCGGGCCGCCGACGGTCGGGCTGTCGGGATTTGGGTCACCCCGGCCGGGAGCACGCCCGGCCCGGGCGCACGACATTTGACTCCTGGCCGAGTGAGTCGGGAGGAGCCCCGAGCGTCCTGAGGATAGGAAGTTGCACCCTTATCACCGCAGCTTACAGCGCGAGTTGGACGTTTCTACCCCTGGTGCAGCTGACGTACTCGCGTGGCTGACGTGATTTAAGGCTACACGAGGGCCCGCCGCCGGGCCGGACTCCTACGTGGATGACTGGATGTGGGTGAGCACAAGTGAGTGACTGGATGTGGTGAGCGCCTCAGGGGAACACGCTCGTATGGTACGGTGAGAAGGCCCGTGACACCTGAGGACCTCACGCGCCGCTGGGGGAGGGGTCACGCTGGCTATGAGCAGGACTGGAGGGGCTTGTCCGCAATGTGCCCGTACCGTATCGGCTCTGTGCTGTGAGCACGTGCAGTAGGACGGACACCCGGCGTCTCAAGGATGATCGTGTCATGGTTGGCGCCCGTCGAATCCGGTGGTATGGTGTGTACCGTGTGGGGCCACCTATAGGAGGGTTCGGGTCAATTTTGGAGACGTGCAGAGCTTGCTCAACATTGCACAACTCCCACGGGTTCCGCCTCAGATATATAGCTGGGGAAAGGCCACGTGAGCTTGTGCAGCGATTCTCTGCAGACGGCGTCTGCCTGCGAGATGTTGAACTCCGCCGCGATTGGACGTGATTTCCTTGTGGTCCCCACTGAAGTCCCACGTGACGGCGGCCATCAGTTGCGCGCACGGGAACAAGAGGTCGATAGCTGCTAATGGCGATAAAGAGTCACTTCCTGGACGGAAGAGGCTCCGGTGAATGCGGTAGGTGCTCTCCAGAGATAAGGCCGCGTGTAAATAGGCCGACAGACGTTGGTTCTAACCGCCCCAAGTTGCGCCGGTGATAACTGATTTTGAAGTACCGTGTTTGTGGTCAAGGACAGGACTTGCGAAAGAGAGCACCATTTCCATGGCCTTCCCTGTCGAGCATCATCACATTCTGCGCTCGAGTTCTCGTCTCATCCATTTAGTTAAGTGTGATTGTTCATTGCAAGGAGCTAAGTCGAGTTGTGGGTCTGATGACTTGCAACTTTGTGCGGGGTTGCGTGCTTTACGACATCAGCAATGAGGTGTAACACGTTAGAAAAGCTGGGAACCAGCGTAATTAAGAAACTGTGTTCAAGCAGGGCGGCATAAATGCTTCCTCAGGTAGCGCTGTGAAGGACACAAGCATCGCATGTTGACGAGAACCATTTCCGTTCTCGTGACATTCGCGTCTCAGCACAGCATATTGCGGTTGGCGGATTTAAAGGGGCCGTCATTCAACACGAAGTTATGAGCTGGTACCCAATTGTACCCAGTTCTATGTTGCCAGCAACTGATCCAGAAGTGCTTTAGGCGGATGCGAGTACAGCATCTTCCTCGTATCTCTGGTGCCGCTCTGGCTATCCTAGCTCTGTCGCGGCCTGACAGCCATGCGTGATTACCACAGCAGCATGGACTTTACAGCAGGTACGGCAGCAAGTACGGCAGCAGATGTTGCAGCAGGTACATGATGCACCTGTCCTTCGAGTGTTTTGGTCTCCTTCCACTGGATCGCATACAGTATCGTGTTCATGGTCCTGGGCTCTGGGCTTAGGCGGGACGCTGACGCCGAGCTCACGGCTCTGGTCTCCGAGCGAGACGGGATTCTGATACCGTATTTATAGCCCTAGTCTCTGAGTGAGACGGGACGCCGATGCCGTGTTTATGGCCCTGGTCTCTGAGCGAGGTGGGCGCTGACGCCGTGTTCACGGCCCTCGTCACCGAGCGAGACGGGACGCTGACGCCGTGTTCACGGCCCTCGTCACCGAGCGAGACGGGACGCTGACGCCGTGTTCACGGCCCTCGTCTCCGGGCGAGGCGGGACTCTGATACCGTGTTAATGGCCCTGGTCTCCGAGCGAGACGGGACTCTGATACCGTGTTTACGGCCCTGGTTTCTGAGCGAGGAGGGCGCTGACGCCGTGTTCGGGGCACTGGTCTCCGAGCGAGACGGGACTCTGATACCGTGTTTACGGCCCTGGTTTCTGAGCGAGGCGGGCACTGGCGCCGTATTCATGGCCCCGGTTTTCGGGCAACAACATATTATTGCTGCACTTACATGCCGTATGGTGTGAATTACGTGGTGCAAACGTGTGTCTACTTCTGGAAGGCTAATGAAGTGCATGCATGCATCTAAACACAACCGCAAGGCTACTTCGAAGATATGCGGAAGTCTAATTATGTGCATGTATGCACCCAATCAAAATTGCTGCGTTGCAAACCGTTCATGGGACATTTTAAGAGGCCTTAGGTAGTTGTCGACAAAATGTTGTCCACCCCGTTTCTCTCACGTTGATCGAGAGCAGCACTTTGTAATCCATGGTGCGTGCATGTTGCGTGCGATGTCCATCTTCTGATTTGTGCATATTGGCCAACAGAACTTCCATGTACGCAAGCTAGCCTGAGTAAACACATCGCTTGGGAAATCCCATTCAGCAGGCAGTAAGCAAGCCGTTGGATGTCACCTCAGATGCGTACAAACGCACAAATATGTGCATACTGACAAGGGAAAAAGTACATGCTACTTGCAAAACCCCGGTAGATAATAACTTTGTTGGTGTAATTCCAGACGAATTGTGAAGGTTCCGTTTAGCTGATCTTTCTTCTGAGACTAAACGAATAGCAGAGAGAGGGGTCTCTGGGCCAGCTGACTCGCCCCCGTGATGGGACATCTGCCGTGCCAGCCGGCGCCCCATCAGCGCCTGTCGTCAGCTGGCGGCAGCCGTAAGCGTCCCCCTGGCCAGCTGGCTGCAGCCGTGAGCATCCCTCCCTGGCCAGCTGGCTGCAGCCGTGAGCATCCCTCCCTGGCCAGCTGGCAGCAGTGGTGAGCATCCCTCCCTGGCCAGCTGGCTGCAGCCGTGAGCATCCCTCCCTGGCCAGCTGGCTGCAGCCGTGAGCATCCCTCCCTGACCAGCGGGCGGCAGTGGTGAGCATCCCTCCCTGGCCAGCTGGCTGCAGCCGTGAGCATCCCTCCCTGGCCAGCTGGCAGCAGTGGTGAGCATCCCTCCCTGGCCAGCTGGCTGCAGCCGTGAGCATCCCTCCCTGGCCAGCTGGCAGCAGTGGTGAGCATCCCTCCCTGGCCAGCTGGCTGCAGCTGTGAGCATCCCTCCCCGGCCAGCTGGCGGCAGTTGTGAGCATCCTCCCTGGCCAGCTGGCTGCAGCCGTGAGCATCCCTCCCTGGCCAGCTGGCAGCAGTGGTGAGCATCCCTCCCTGGCCAGCTGGCTGCAGCTGTGAGCATCCCTCCCCGGCCAGCTGGCGGCAGTTGTGAGCATCCCTCCCTGGCCAGCTGCTGCAGCCGTGAACGTCCCTCCCTGGCCAGCTGGCGGCAGCCGTGAGCCCTCCCTGGCCAGTGGAAAGCAGTGGTGAGCGTCCCTCCCTGGCCAGCTGGCGGCAGTGGTGAGCGTCCCCCCCTGGCCAGCGGGCGGCAGTGGTGGGCGTCCCTTCCTGGCCAGCTGGCGGCAGTGGTGAGCGTCCCCCCCTGGCCAGCGGGCGGCAGTGGTGGGCGTCCCTCCCTGGCCAGCTGGCGGCAGTGGTGAGCGTCCCTCCCTGGCCAGCGGGCGGCAGTGGTGGGCGTCCCTCCCTGGCCAGCTGGCGGCAGTGGTGAGCGTCCCTCCCTGACCAGCGGGCGGCAGTGGTGAGCCTCCCTCCCTGGCCAGCTGGCGGCAGCCGTGAGCATCCCTCCGTGGCCATCTGGCAGCAACCGTGAGCGTCCCTCCGTCGCCAGCTGGCGGCAGCAGTAAGCGTCCCTCCCTGGCCAGCGGAAAGCAGTGATGAGCGTCCCTCCCTGGCCAGCTGGCGGCAGTGGTGAGCGTCCCTCCCTGGCCAGCTGGCGGCAGTGGCGAGCGTCCCTCCCTGGCCAGCGGGCGGCAATGGTGGGCGTCCCTCCCTGGCCAGCTGGCGGCAGTGGTGAGCGTCCCTCCCTGGCCAGCGGGCGGCAGTGGTGGGCGTCCCTCCGTGGCCAGCTGACGGCAGCCGTGAACGTCCCTCCGTCGCCAGCTGGCGGCAGCAGTAAGCGTCCCTCCCTGGTCAGCGGGCGGCAGTGGTGGGCGTCCCTCCCTGGCCAGCTGGCGGCAGCAGTAAGCGTCCCTCCCTGGCCAGCTGTCGGCAGTTGTGAGCATCCCTCCCTGGCCAGCTGGCGGCAGCTGTGAGCCTCCCTCCCTGGCCAGCTGGCGGCAGCTGTGAGCCTCCTTCCCTGGCCAGTTGGCGGCGGCTGTGAGCCTCCCTCCCTGGCCAGCTGTCGGCAGCTGTGAGCCTCCCTCCCTGGCCAGCGGGCGGTGGCGGTGAGCCTCCTTCCCTGGCCAACTGGCGGAGGCAGTGAGCGTCCCTCCCTTGCCAGCCACGCCGCCCCCCGGGCTTAACCGCCAGCAAACCGGTTTAGCTTACACGGCTCTAGGAATGCCCAGCCCGTCATTTTCTTCTCGTTCTCTCTCAGTTTTGCTGTGTGGCATCACGTTGACCATGTTGAGGTCACGAATGTCATAGTCATGTCTGCTATCGTTCTCCCCTTTCCTATTCTCTTCTCATTCTTTCCTCCTTGTCTCTAGCCCCTTCATATCAAACTCTGCTCGGTCCCACCCTATTTCTCTTTCTCTTGCCATAAGGCTCTCAGTCATGAATTGCAGGTCCAGTAAGAAATATTCGTGAATTCTTGTCGTTTGGGTGCTCCTTCCACTTTGTG